TTTTAATTTATGGCATTTTTGAAAGTTAACAACTTATGATGATATTTTTACAAAATAGTATTTCAAAAATAGCATGTTTGCGATTGTCTCTTGTTCCAATTCATTTATTGGGAACCCTTCATTATTTTGGATAGAGAGATTGTAAATAATTATGAAAATGATCACCATCAATGGATATAATTATTTAAGTGGCAAGGGCCATTTGCTGGCATCACCCATAGGGCCCAAGTCAATGTTGATAACATAATCATATTGAGTTGCTTGTTAGACATAAATTGACCTCGTCTATTTAATTAATTTGGTTGTTTTTCTCAAACCATTTTGCTGATGTAATAAATTTTACATTGTCTTTCTTTCTTTTTGCGAAACTATTTGTCAATTTTGTGGACCTTGCCTTGCTTCTCACGACTCACCTCCAATAATTTCGTAAATGGTGGCGGTAATACTATCCACGTGTCACTATGTGACTTGTTAATACTTTAGTAAATTTTACCAAATTCCTCTCCTTTTCACTAGGTTGGGAATTATATAGCTCCCCAAGTTTCGGGACTTTCTTGAAACTTCAGAACATATGCCAAAAGCATAAACTATCAAATAGCAGTCAATTTTAATTGCGTTTTAAAAAAAAAAAATGCGATATATCACTATATCAGTATTCTTATTGTGTTATTATTCAAATTCAATTTCTCTTACTAAAAAGTAGGTGATCAAAAACAATTTACTCATATTTGGTTTACTCGATATACTGAAAATTCAATTGAAAATTTGATAGTTTCTTTTCGGAAAAAAAAAAGAAGAAAATTTGATAGTTTTTCAGTGATTTGTCCGTTTGTGTTTGTTCCATGTGAATAACACATGAACACTTATCTACTTTTTTAAAAAACATAAGAATTTCAAATCTTTGGTTCATTCAATGTTAATTTTTAAATATTTCGATTTAAAAATCAGTCAGACATTTTTCACATAGATTAAATATTAAATACTTTTTTTGTTAAAGTTAAAAATTTAATTCTTGAATTTTTATACACTTGTCGTTTTAAAATAAATTGTTTTTCCGTTTCAAGGTTAAAACATCCATTTTTACAAAAACGGAAAGAATATTTTCTAATTTAGTAGTATTTTATCATAAATAGAAAGATTACTCGCAAAAAAAAAAAGTATTTTATCAAAGTAATCTAGTAAATTAGTTTAAAAAAAAACAGGAAAAATATGTGGAGCCACGTTTGCGTACACGTAAAAGACTTTTCGTTTCCTACTTCTTCTGCTCTGTTGCCGTTGTCAACAAATTTAGGTTCCTAAAATAAAATATCATTAATTTTATTGGGAAATGATATACTCTAACGGCTCTGATTGCACCGCAAGCTATCACCACCACCAACCTAGACACGTGTACGGCTACTAATTATCCATATCTCCACATTTTTTGCAAGAAATTGAAAAACAAACAAAAAGTTTCCAAAGCGAATATTCGGAAAAAGTTGGGTTGTAAATGTGTAAATTTCTCGTGTACGTTCTGATATACGCTGACGTGTACGAGTCCTTTTTTTTCAATTTTATTTTTAGAAATTTTTTATAAAAAAAACAAAAAATCTATAAATGTATTTATTATTTGACTTTATTGTTAACCTCCCCTATATAAACCCTTTTAGTCTCTGTTCATATTTCATTCATTTTGAAAAAAAAAACGATTTATTTTGTAATTTTATTTTCCTTTATTGTTGTTTCTCTCTCTAGAGAGGAGATTTTTGTTGTTGTTCATCAATGGCGATGAGGAAGCTTTTATCGAAGCGTTTCTTCAACATCTCAAATGTAGCGTCACAGAGTCTTATGAATTGTCGTATATCGTCTTCTTCGTTAGCCGTACGAACCAGAGTTCCTAAAGAATCTGGAGAGACGAAAATCGCTCCTGAGCCTGGAGATTTGAGGATTTCGCGGAGGTTTTTGCATAATAGCGCAATGATTCGGCCGGAGATTATGCAGATGCCGGTTGGTGAGAGTCTGATTGAAAAGCTCCGTCAAATCGATGGGAGTAAGGACCGGATTCGATTAGACGGACTTGCTCCGCCGATTGCGATTTCTGAGGTGGAGACGGAGAAGCCGAGTTTGACGGTGGAGGATACGAAGAAACTGCTTAGAGCGGCGCAGATCGAAGTGGTGAAAACGAAGCTTAGAGAAACGGAGAGAAGCTGGATGTCGTATGCAGAGTTCGTAAGCGTTTGTGGTGAAGCTTCTTCAGATCCAGATCAAGGATCTCGAATCGCGAAGATGCTTGATGATTCAGCAAACGTCATCGTTTTGGGAGATTCCGTTTGTCTTAGACCAGATCAGGTAACTTTTTCCTCTAGAAATCTCTGGATCTGAAAATTGCATTGAATCATTTCTGAAATTCAATCTCTGAGTATGCAGAACACAGATTAGTCTGTACCAAACGAGTATTTGATTGATTGGGAGAGATAGAGAGAGATAAAAACTCTCGGAATATATAAAAACCAAATTAGGTTCCGTTTTTGTTTCTTTCGATTTGATCTGGAAGCTACCGAAAACTGATACCATTTTCATCGGTTCTATCTCTTTTTGGTTCCAATTCAACAGGAGAAATCAAAAACCTCTGTGTTACCATAACCAGAGAGTCACGTAGGAGGTTCCCAAGTTTGAGGTGGTGAATGATAATGAGGAAAAGTTTCTACAGAGAGACCACAACTTTATTCCGTTCTTGTTTTTCCTCTTAAAAAAAAACCAAACCATTTCTTGGATTAGGTTAAATTGAGTCAAGACCCAAAATGAGAGAGAGATGAAGAACCTTTTAGGTTATTATAGTATTGGTCGTTTACTAACTGGGATAATCAAAGTGGAAAATTGACAGAGATGATTGGGTTTATGTTGGAGATATTAACCAGAAACAGGGATATGGGGATGGATTGACATAGCTAGTCATTTGATCATAAAGTTGTATTGTGTGTTTTGTTCAGTGCTAATTGTGTCTCAAAAGAAGGTGGTGGAGGTCTTGTTTTACCCAGACATTTTCTGTTTTTGTCTTTTGCTCTTGTGTCTGATCAGGTTACAAGATCCATTGAAAGACTGCTTCCTTTGCCAAAGATCCGTAACCCAAACGACCCACGAAGGATCGAGTTAAAAGAGCTCGAAGCAGAAAAGGCAGTGATCGATGTGAAAGCGCATTCTTTGGTGCGGAAAGAGCTTTGGGCTGGTCTCGGTTACTTGATCCTACAGACCGCTGGGTTCATGAGGCTTACGTTCTGGGAACTCTCATGGGACGTAATGGAACCAATCTGCTTCTATGTTACCTCCATATACTTTATGGCAGGGTATGCCTTTTTCCTCAGGACATCGAAAGAACCATCCTTTGAAGGGTTTTACCAAAGTAGGTTCGAGGCTAAGCAGAGGAAACTTATGAACCTTAATGAGTTTGATTTCCAGAGGTATGATGAACTGAAGAAGCTGTTTTGCCCTAAGCCTTCAGATCGTGTTTCCAAGATTCTTGGAGCTATCAAGAATTAAGATTTTGATTAGACAAAATTGTTTAGATTCATTGTTGTTGTCACAAATGGTGTCTGATTTTTCCTAATTAGAGAATTCTACCCAAAAGAAAAAGAAAAGAATAGGTAGATGAAGTTCTCAATTACAGTTTTCCCCCCCAAAAAAGGTTCGAATTGTTGCGGCTTATGTAACATCAGGGAAGAGTTTTCTTGTTTTCAAGTTTTTTTATATATGAGTATATGATCGATCCAAAATTTAACAAAGTGTAAATAACTGTTTGAAATGTAATATAGAAGTATTAATTATTTCCAAGAGGTTGATCTAATATGCAGTACTATTAATGTTGTTGTCATTATATAAATCCGGTTAAATCCCAACTTTGGAATGCCATATATGTATAAATTGATAGTACAATAGATACATTACAAAAAGTGAAGATCTGCATTGTATTAGTAACTTTATTTCGTATCACTGCAACTTTTACCGTTTTTTTTGTGTAGCTGTTTGATTAGTGTAACAGCAATATATTGGGATAGTATTTTCTTAGGGAAAAAGTTTGGTAGCTATACCAAGTAACCCATAACATGGCTACATGTCCTAACTAAATTAGTGTCATATTAATTACACTAAATAATGGATAAGCATGGTAACATACACAAACAAACATAAGTTATACTTCTAACACCATAACCATTAATCCAACATCTATTCAACAACATAATCCGTTAATTCCGAGTGATGTAATTAGAAACTAGTCCATATCTGAGACGCATTAAAAAAATAACTAGGGTTCTTGAGAGAAATTTTTGTTATTGTTGCTTGAAATCAACGATTAAGACGGAGTTGTGAGTTGTCACCGTTTCGATGAGGTATTATATACATTTTTGTATGATTTATTTGTATAAATTTGAAATTAGGGCATCAACTATTGGAAGTATTTGCAGTGATCACCACCACTATCCTAAATATACACCAAATCACTTTATTTATTTAAGTAACAATTTCACCAACTCAACATCGAGCAAATCTACATACCTTATATAACTCACACATGTCAAGAACCTTTGACTCGGATTCCTTCATGTCCATGATTTTAAAATATTTGCCGACAAACCACAATAATACAATTTTGACCTCCTTCAGATTTGTTCCTACTGCTATTAGAAGATCTCGAGCTTGAATTCATCTTCCATGAAACATATAACCAACTAGATACAATATTAGTTTCTTCACTTGTCACTCAAATTTGTCAAACTAATTGTCATCACTCTTATCCAAATTGAGCTCCAACAAGTAGAAACAGAAGAAATCTCACCTAATTGAATGCTTCTTCCACAAACTTTCTTTTTGCACAAACAAAACTTATTTTCTCTGCTTCCTCATTCCTAATCGCGAAAAAATCTAGTTGTGTGGGAAGAATCGCAATTTTTACTAAAAGAAGATGCAACATATGGTCGGATCGGGTGGTTTGAGCTTAATTTTGTATTGTAGTAAGCCAACTTAAAAAATCACTTAATTTGTCTTAAGTATGAGTTAGTTATAATTGTATCAGTCGGATTTAACAATTTCGTTAAATAATAATTGAAGAATTAATTATTATTGTGTTGGCAGCATGACTTATGTTTGTTCGTGTATGTTAGCATGTTTATCCATTACTTGATTAGTTAAGATGAAATTAATTTAGTTGGGATATGTATCCATTAATTTACTTGGTGTAGCTACCAATTAATTTTTCTTTTTTTTTTCTATAGTACATGATAGCAATACAAGATTCTAGTACAATTATAAACAATATGATATTAGATAGCATTACAATCCAAATAATAGTAGTAGCACTGGTATTGCAACGATCTGATTGTCTATTAGAAATTTAGAATACTATATGCCACGATCTTATTGTTTTGTTGGAAAAACCATTGCAAATCTCATATTGTCTATTATGTAGATTATGATTATGACGTTCTAGCATTGTGGTCCAACACATACAACCTTTTGTGTAACCATTCAATAAAATGGTAAAGTGATTGTGGTATGAGATGTAATTCCAATATTTTAATATTGTACTAACATATTGTTTTTATCACTATTTCTTATTGCTTATAATTTTACTATAATTTTGTACTACAATCTTGT